TGGGAGTGTAGACTGGTGCAACCACTGTGGAAATCAGTATGGAGATACCTCAAAGAGCTAGGACTGGAAGTCCCATTTGACCCTGCTATTCCTCTGCTGGGTATCTTCCCCAAAGAAATAAAAGAATCCTACCACAGTGATACATGGGCGCCCATGTTCATAGCAGCACAGTTTGTAATCGCTAAAACTTGGAAACAGCCCAAATGCCCATCAACGCGAGACTGGATCAAGAGAATGTGTTCTTTTTATAAAATAGAGTACTACTCAGCCATCAAAAATGAGAAATTAGAGACATTCATAGCAAGTGGATTCACACTGAGGCAATACTTTTAAGTGAAATAAACAGGACACACATGTGTAAATATCAAATAGTTTCTCTAGTGTGAGAAACTGAAAGTGTAAATAAGGCCTAAAAGATATAATAGATAATGTGAAATAGGAAGAAAAGGGACAAAGGGGAGGGGGAAGAGGGAGGGGCAGGGGAAAGGAAAGAGGGGAATGGAATTAATATGAGAAAATGAAAAAATGGAAACAGTCTTTGTAAATAGGGAAGGATGGAGGGGTTGAAGGGAGGGTCGGGGAAGGGGGAAAAATAAGAACCAAGAGAGACTATGTAAAGGTGCATATCTCTAATGATGAATGTCATTATGTTGTACATCTAAAATTCACCAATAAAAGGATATATAAAATGTCAAAAAAATACTCATATCTGGACTGGACAACTCACTAGCAATTGAAGCAAACTCTCTGGAGGTCAGATCCAGATATCACTATTTACAGTATTTTTAAGGTTTCTCAGGTAATTCAAATGTGCAGACAGATAAAAAACCATTGACATAATCAATAATCCAAAGGAGTATCTCACTTTTAGTTTTGTTTGCTTCACTTTACAGTTTAGGTAAATGGATAGATAACTTGCATTAACCTTATCTTTGTCATAATCCAGTCAGAAAGTCAAAAGAGAAAACTTTTCAACATCAGATTTGGAAACAAGAGAAAGCCTGAGGAAGTCAAACTGCTAAGTCATAGAATAATTATTTGGAGTTAGCATTGAGGCTTGTAGGGAATCACTTCTGATTGATTCAAAGCCTGGGGCACCTGAGTACCCTTAAGGCTATGACCCTGCCATGTAGCACATGCACACTACGGGACACAATTTAAATTACTGTGCATATGTTATGTGGTTATGTAAGGACATGATGAGGTAAGGCTGTGTAGCAGCCTATATATGGGCTGAGGAATAAAGACGTTTGCTCTTGGTCTTGATGATATTGGCTCCGTGTGCCTTCTTTTCCCTGGGGACCTCACCCATGAAAATACCTCTTCAGTCCCACCCGAACCTGACAAGTGGCATAGTTGGTAGGATGAGGTGAGTGTCCCTTTGGCATCTGTGGTAACAGTGCCTGATGGCAAGGGAGATCTCTGGGGGTTGCTGACATACTTCCCCTGGCCTCACTTTAGTTACCTGTAGCCACTGTTTTGGTGACATGGAGGAATCCAAGGACTAGGAAGCAATTCACTTGACACCTGAGGAAGTGTTGAAATACTGGACATCCAAATCCCTCCTGCACTGTAAGTCATCAGGGTGGATGGCTTGGCTGTCTTTCACTCTTTTCTGACATGTGGGCCAAGAGGCAGAAGACCTCTTCCAGCAGTTGGGCCAACTGCAGTGAACACAAGAGAACCCAGAACGGTGACTGGCTGCCACAGAAGCCAAGTTACAGGACACAGGGAGCACCATCTCCTCCCAAAGTATAAGTCCCAATTACCAGGAGAGTCCCCTGGTACTGCATGCAAGGCCTGATATTTGCCAAAAGGTAGAGGTAGAGGAGCCCCTAACCCAGTGAGAGGAATGGGGACTGCCCAGGTCTACCCACTACACAATGTATACAAGTTACAAGATACACGTATGGAGTTAAGAGAGCTGGCAAAACAAAGCAAAGGTGGGTGAAACGGTGCCTGCATTGTCGCTATGGTTATGGGGTGACGGACTTGATAACATGAAGTTAAGCTCACAGGAGATGTCTCAACTAACATAGCTAGCACTCCCTATAACAGGTTTTGCAGGATGTGCAGAGACAGCCCCATGAGCAGTTAACCAAACTGATAAAATGGTTGATGGCAACAGCCTGTCTGGTTTGGGCAAATCCAGGTGACTTGCTGGAGCAAGTCACAAAATGGACCACCTACTTCGACTTAGTAACTGTGCTACCAGAAATGGGCAAGTGACAAGTTATGTTTGCTATGCAATATCATAACCCTAATAAAGAACTGCTTACAGCTCTCACAGAGGACTTGATCCTGGCTAGTGGGCCTGCTGGCTGCCGGCCTAGCTGTACATAAGATAGATAGCCTTTGGATGTGTTGCTGACTCTGTGGTGACAGCTGTGCCCTTAGCAGCAATACCAGCTGGAAGACCCAAATGACAATGGGTATCAGGCTCTTGGCCTCATGCCTTTATGATGTCTATATTTCTCTGGTTGCTGTATACTGGGGGTAGTCATATTGACTGGTGCTAGACTTGACACCATGCAGGGAGAATTCTGTTTGTGAATCTGTGTGGTAAAAATCATTGTCCTTATCATGCACCACTGACTCTCCCACAGGCTACACGGGTTGTGTGTGTAAAGCTGTATTGGCCGCTTGGAAGTCATGAGAAAATAGGACAGACTATTTTGAAGGTGGAAGAAGCTGAAGTGATATGCCCTGCACACAGCCCTTTCAGCTCCCTGGTGTGGCCCATGTGGAAGCCAGATGGAACATGACAAATGACCGTGGATTACTGGGAATTGAATAGAGTGGCACACACCCTTAACCCCTTGCATGAAGTGGTACCTAATATTGCAGACCTGATGGATTGTCTCACCCTGATGCTAGGTCAATACCATTATTTTGTGGATTTGGTCAATGCCTTCTTTTCCATTGCTATCATACCTGACAGTCAGGACCAATTTGCATTCACCTGGGAAGGCAGACAATGGACCTTCCAGGTGTTGCCATAAGGCTATCTACATAGCCTGACTCTGTGTCATGGCCTAGTGGCCCAGGACTTGGTTACCTGGACCAAGCCACACTCTGTGTTGTTATACCATTATATTGATGATATTATGTTAACCTCTGATTGCCTCGCAGATCTGGAAGCCACTGCACACAGTCTGAAGGAAGCTTTGCTAACCTGGGGGTGGGCTGTCAACAAAGACAAGGTACAGGGACCTGGCTTGTCTGTTAAATTCTTAAGTGTTATCTGGTTGGATAAGACAAAAAGTAATTCCCTAGGACTCTTAACTGAATAGACTCAGTGGATCTGCTTTTCGGGACTCAGAAAGGGCAGTACAAACCCTCCAAGTCATTGAGCCTCCCCTGCCTTTTTCCCTGTCAGTGTGGATGTTGGGTTTGGCTGGGGCCTGCCACAGTTATGGAGGGAGCTGAGAGTCAGTATTCCAATTGAGAAACAGTTAGCAGTGGTGTATGCTGCTCTGCACACCTGGGAAGGAATCACAGGGCAGCAGACTATGGAAGTGCAGCCTAGATACCCAGTAGAGGGCTGAGTCTGCACATGAACGTCCCCTCCCAAGAGAGGAGTAGCCCAGGCCCACACCCTGACATGACGGGGGACACACTTGCAACAGAGGGCCTTCTTCTCAGCCAGCCTGTTGGCAGCCAAATTAGCAACAGTTTTGAGATGTGCGACATACACCGTACAGGAGTGTACAGGATGACAGACTGTAGGTTATGATACCTAGCTCCTATGCAGAAGGGAAAGAAAGGCCTCTGGGTGAGGCCTAGTATACCAGTGGGTCCAGCCATGGCACAATCCTGCAACAGATGGCAATTGCTGTCCAGTCCAGTATGGAAATTCTCTGGTTTGAAACCAGAACAAGCAGGCTGAGCCAATGGGCAGAGCTGCAGGTAATGTGGCTACCTGTAATGCATGAGGAAGGACTTCTGCATGTTTGCACGGACAGTTGGGCTACATGTGACTACTTGTAATGCATGTGGACGAATCTCTGCATGTTTCCACAGATAATTGGGCCATATACTGCGGGCTGATGCTCCGGTTACTGGCTTGAGTGACCCAGCAGTGACAGATAGGGTACTGATCCCAACATACGGTGACAGCCCAATGGATTGCCTCTTGAAAGTGCAGCTGGCCTGTCTGCATGTCCAACTCACAGAACAAGGTCCTAAGGTAAAGAAAGGGACCTTAATTATTCCTGTGTTGGAGCCTATGCAGCTGGGAGATAAGATGATTCCAACCACAATCCTATCACAGGATAAGCATGTAGACTGCATTCTCCCAGAAGGGCTGGAACTCCTTATAATGGTTTCTCTTTCTGCCCTGTCCTTCTGACCAGGATGAGTCACACTAACCGCAACATTTTTGGGGCACACGTTTGCCTGTGTACACCAACAATTGCATTGTTGGGTGTGCATGGAACACAATGCAGTTGAGGGCCTCCCATGGAGGATCGAGCTGGCATCCCTGCTCAATTGGACTGACTGGCAGCATCGTAACTGGACTGGCTCTGCATAGGCTGTTGAGGCACTGATCCAGAAGAGCAGGACCACCTTACAAATACTGGGACCTGTTACGTATAATAGTTGGGGGTGGATGATGGGAAATTAAGTAATATTGTTGGGTGGCCACAAGTCGCACTGTGGCAGCAATAGTGTTAATGATATTATGCTGTTCACGTTATTGTTGTGGTGCTCTTTGTGCCCAAGGGTCGACTCTATGGGCTGCTGATAAGACGTTACATTCCCCTGACCTTTGAGGGTGTGGGATGTTGGGAATCACTTCTGACTGATTCAAAGCCTGGAGCACCTGAGGAATCTTAAGGATACAACCCACTGTCTAGCGCACGTGAACAACAGGAAATACTTATGTAAGTATAACTCAGCTTAAACTACCGTGCATGTGTTAAGTGATTATGTAAGGACATAATGATGTAAGGCTGTGTAGGGGCCTATATAAGGGCCCAGGAATGAAGACGTTTTCTCTTGTTGCTGATGTTGGGTCTGTATGCCTTCTTTACCCTGGGACCTCACCCATGAAAATACCCTTTCAGCCCAACCCTGACTAAGGAAATTGGGAGATGCAGAATATCAACATGGTTTGGTAGATATGAGTCCTCACTTTGTGGGAGATCAGAGGAGAATTGAGGCCTAATTGGCCTCTTCTGTAAGCACGAAGGAGAAAGGCTGCACTCAAGGGTAATGGTATATTGTACGTTCTAGGGAAAAATTAAATCCGCTGAGATTAAGTTGTTTACCAGAGCATGTACTAATGGATATTGGAAAGCAGATGAACCTTGTGTTACTTTGATTCCTTGTGAATAAAGGTAAGATAAGCATGACACTGGGGGCTCCTCTGCCAACTAGAGACAAGAGCCTCTTGGCTGCCCATGTGTTAAACTGACTCCGTGTCTCTTTGTCATTCATCCTCATTTGGCCCCACCCCCTCCCCACCAGGGAGAACAAAGTTGCAGGTCTAAGTCCTCCACATGTGGTGCCTGGGTGGGGAAAGCTTGGAGGAGCAGGCTGCCTCTCCCAGTGATGCCTGGGGAAAGAGGGATCTGAGACCCGTGCTGAAGTCTGGTCAGGTGCCTGGCTAAATCACTTCATAGCTGACTGGGATTTTCTCATCTCCTTGAACTTTGATTTTACAATCTGTAAAAGTGAAAAATCATTACCTCTCTCCTTCCTACCTAATATGGATCTGCTTAGAATCAACAGAGATAGTATCAATTAAAGTGTATTGTAAACTTAAAAACTATAACATAGCCGGGGATTTAGCTCGGTGTTTCCGCTGCCTGCCTCACAAGCGCAAGGACCCGAGTTCAATCCCCGGTACCAAAAAAACAAAAACCAAAACAAAAACGAACCTCTAACATTTGAAGGACTGTGCCCTAAGAGTTGAAGCAACTGCAGGAAGTAAAATTTAGTCCTGGGATACAACATCCAAAGCAATGTCTTTACCATGTACTCATTCATGGTAGTAAATACCAAACAATTAGATATAGACACCAATAAAGTCATTTTTTTCTAAGGTATGTATGTTATATTCTTTACCATCAAGACTTTGCTATAGAAGCCCTGCTGGAAATCCTCATTAATAAAGGCAGGAAATAACAACTAACCAATCAGCTGTTAACAACCCAGATCAGATTATGCTAATATAGTCTGAAACCAAATAAGGTGAAAGAGAAAATAAAACATGGGAGGAGAAAGAGCCTTAACAATTCATGAGGAAAGCAGTAAATCTCACTGACATAAGATAAACTTCTTGGGCATAAGACAGTGAAAATGGTGTTGATCTATTTGTCCGCAGATGTGGCTCCAGGGTGTAATCTGTCCAGCTGCTCAATATCAGGACAGCCACATGGGCACCACCTCAGGGAAGATAAATAGAAAACCTCTTAGTCAGGGAGATAAACACAATTGCTGCTGCTATTTCTTACATGGAAAACCTGCCAATTGTCACTGTTGGAGGGAAGAAGTGCCACTGGAATATTCTGAGGCACTGAGAGTAAAAAAAACCTGGCCACAAACCCAAGGAATGACAGGACACAGAAAGGAGTAAGCTTTGCTGGAACTGATTTTCTCAAGGTGGCCACTGGATTCCTTGAGGACTAAATTCAGAAAGGACAGTGTGATCAGCAACCTTGTATTATACAATATGTTAAATATTGTTTGGTATGACATATACAAGCTATCCTTATAGGTCAGAGAAAATATAAAATATGACAGCCGTGGGGTTTGGGTTGGCTTCTCAGCTATTTCATTCATACTCCATACTCTATACTCTATTCAAACCAGCAGAAATCCACACAATATCCATGCAAAAGGCCAATTCTTATAACAGCGGGGAAAAAATATGGGGAAATAGAACTATCTTTTGAAGTGGAGGCTGAGAAAACTTGTTTTAAAAATAAAGTTTTGGGCCTTTTCAAAGATTTCAGTCAAGTAATATGCTAAGTAGAACTAACTTGGATGTTTCAGAGAAAAACCATGCCTTTGTTCTAATTATTAAAGCCAACTGCATTGTTATTTATTATGTATGTATTATTTCAGCCACTTCAACATGAGGCAGAATCCTAATGCATGGAGTGAAAATGGAGATATAAACATAGAATTAACTTATAAAGAGCTTCTGATGTACTAAGAGATGGCACCACATAAAGACAGAAATGGACAGTAGAAAATATGTGCCCTAAAAAAGTATTATAGTCAGCGAAGAGGGGGACCAAGACCCCTCCTAAAATGTTTAACCAAGAAAGGCTAAAGTCACTTTTATTATTCTGTCACTTATGACTTGACCTAAAAGATTCTTCCTCATTACAATAGCCTTGACTATCTGTCAGTAAATGATGTTTGGTTAGTTCTTAAGAAAATTGGTTTTTTACTCTTTAGCTTCAATCCTGAGACGAAAGATCTAGAATGGTGTTCCTCTTCTGAGCAGTTCTGAGTTACTTCTGTCCTTGTTTGTGCCTAGAGGAGGGATTTATTCTGGGGTTCCAGAGATGAGTTGCTCCATTAATGAATGCTTTGATTTATGCCCAGGTAACTGATGTGGTTTTTAAATAGTTTTCATCAAAATATTTCAAGCCAGGAGCAACATTCCTAATACTTGGAGTGCACTATTTATCAAGTTAGCCTGGGAGGGGTGAAGCCAAGTGGGTTCCCCAGGACCTAGATTGAAATATCAGCACAGTAAATCAAGAAAAAGTCAGATGTTCTGTCTAAAAAGATGAAAATAATTCTCCCTTGGCTTGGTGTTGAGCTTTCCTTGGTCAAGTAGGTGCTTTCTTCACCTTTTACCTTGAAGAATGTACATGTTGAAATAGCAACAGCATTCTCAGATCATATAATATGTGTGTGTTGAAATGGTAACAGTGTCCCCAGATCAAATGACATTCAGATATACTACTGGTTCTAAATCAGAATGGTGAAAGCTATTAAGTTTGAGAACATAATCCTAACAATACTGGCAGCCATTTACCAGTGGATTTTTTAAGAGTTGTATAAAGTGGGTGTTGATAGTACCCAAAGCAGGCATTAATAATCTTTTCTGGAACAGAATGAATAGGAAGGAAGCTAAAAACTTTCTGTTTGGTATAATTATAGTTTAATGGACTTTATTACATCCCTCAGTTGACTTGTATAAAGCATATGAAACCAGTCAATTTCAGTGAATAAAAAACAGAATACCTGAAACTAGCCATTTATGTTGTATGCAGATGATCACTGCTTGACTGACTCAGTTTTTCATACTCTCGCCAGCTGTTTTAGCATTTTGCAGACAAAACCTGAATAAGTCCATCTACCTTCTATCAGTCCTGAGTTAAAATGACAGTGTTTGTGTTCAGAACATTTTATAAAGTTGAGAACTTTGTAAACAATTGATAGTGGGCCCAGCTTCTTAAAATATAAACTTTTCCAAAAGTAGATTGATTGTTCTGAAAACCACCGGTTCCCTCATTTTCAGTGGGTACAGAGACTGCAGAACTGAAGAACTGAACTGACACCCTCTTCCTTTGTTTCCAGTTTCCACTTTTCAATATATCCTTTAAATGGTACATAAATTTATTTAAAATATCTTACTTCCATTTAGGTGCCTGTCAGGAGAAATGGAAATATCTGTTCCAAACTTATCAAAAATTTCTTGAAAGCAATTTTTATTTAATTAAAAAAGAGAGAAAAAAATCAAATCATGTCACAGGCAGGTGGAAGGACACCGCAGGCAGGACTGTTTTCCAATGGCATCCAGCAAGATAATGAGTCCATGTCTATGGAAATTGATTCATTAATATTTCATTGAGGCAGCTTCAAAGCAATTCAAGAGCCAGCTCCCAGGAATTCAATCAGTAAATTCAATGAATTGTTGAGCTTAAAATTCTGGGGGGGGGGGGATATACATATCTTTGGCATGTGTGCCTATTTATACATACTGATGTGACACATATATGCACGAGAACATAGGTACATATATTAATGCACAGCACATGCAAGAGAATGTCATTTCTAGGCTAAAAACCTAGTCTCACTTGCTTTTATTTCACATCATTCTTTAGGAAGAATCTCCAAATAAAAAAACCACTCTGGCCAGGGATTTAGCTCAGTGGTTCCGCTGCCTGCCTCACAAGCACAAGGTCCCGAGTTTGATCCCCGGTACCAAAAAAAACCAAAACAAAACCCACTCTGCTTAATATTATTTTCCATTTGCTGAGTACCAGCCTTGGGAAACAAATTTTTTTTAAAAGCGAATCATGACTAGTTCACTAGAAATCATACATTTATCAATAGAATCCCTTCGATCAACAGATAGAAGATAAAGATGGCTTCCAAGGTCACATGCTGAGTCTGGAAAAAGGGGAGATCAAATGTTTAATGGAAAAAGGGCTGCTAGTTTGGAGCAGAAGAGCCAATTTACCATGTTATATACACATCAAGAAGGGCCAGTTAGGGAAATAGTTTCAAATTATCAAGTTGGCTAAGTAATTGGTCTTTGGGTGTCCCTAAACACCAACCTATAAATAATTTTATTTTCATTTTGGATCAATGTCTTCTAGCCCTTGTCTAACTAACCTGTATTGATGTCTTTTTAATTAAACCATGCGTGATATGCTCGCTTGGCAGTGGGGCATACAGAGTGTGCATGCGAGGAATTCCAGATAAGGTAATTATGCTATTTGTCACTGTCATGATTAATGTGTGACAGCTGTTATGACAGCTGTGCCACTGTTTTGTCACAATACTCTGTTCATCCATAACAAAATTAGCTGTCGTACTCAAAGGTATATACTTGCTGCTCTTTCTTTCTGAAGTCAACAATGAGAAAATCGAGAGGGAATATTACATGAACTCTGTGACAAACAAGAAAAACGACATCTTTATTTTTTTTTTAAGTGATGATATAACCTGCCTGCATTGGAAATGCAGATAGCTCACCTCTAGCAAACAAGCTGTCACAAGGAGCCAATCCACTGCTAATCTAGCTAACAAGGTCTCAGTATGTGAGGGGTTTGCTTCATAATTTGAATCTGCCTTGTCAGGCAAGCCTTTTAGATGTTACTCAAATTAGCATTGGCTAGAGCTATTTTTGCCTGTCAAGGTGGGAACCTGCAAATGCAGTTATAATAGGAGTGGGAGACTGACTCACCCTTTCCTTTGGGCATCCGTCGAGTGGAGCAAAAGAGGCGGTTCTTACCCCACCTCTCTGAGACAGCCACCACCGGCTCCTGAATCCCTGCATCCTTAACTGGGATAGATGTTTGCAGAAGCTGACTCCAAATAGAGATGTAAATTGTCAGATGAAGGCAGTTACTAATGTTAAACAATATTGTTTCTTACAGAGCTCTAAAGCTGGACTATAAAGTCACAGAAGACGGTGATGTGAAGAGACAGATGGCTACAGTAATAGCATCATTATTCTGTAGCTTTGGGTGAAGTGGGTGCTGCATATGTTCCATAAACTGTAAGGGGTAAAAGCCCACATAGATGTCTACATAACAAAAAAGAAACACTACCATCAGAGACTCTGAGTGACACAGGAAGAAAATATGCCATGTCAGACATCCAAATCTAAGCAAATCTATTTCATCTTTTAAAGGGAGAAGAGCTGTAGCTATTATTATTATTTTTGCAACAAATAATTAATTCAGGATACTAAATTTGTTGATAAGCAACAAATATAATGTGTGCTTTTAATAATGATGTTGCTTAAATCAGACTCATCTGCACTCTCTCTCAGGCTTCCTCTCCAAAAACAATCCTGGAACAGAAAAGTGATTTCAAACAATTATAATGATTACAAAGGAACTGTTAGCACCTGCTGCTGACTTTTGGCAGTCATCAGTCAATGAAGGACTCAGAATATTTGTTAACAACAACCCAACACTCTTGAATTTGTCCCTGATTTCTCCACATAGGAAGGGTAAACCCTTTGCAAAATAAATTTTTTAAAAAAGACAATGAAAAGTCTGGGTGCCTGTTTACAAATTTCAGATGCTTACAAAGGGGTTTTAATTCAGTTGCCCTAACTTGGTTTTCTCAGTCTGTGATAGGTATATTAGCCTTTAGCAGTTCCTCTCACTTTTCATGAGGGTCTCCTTCCTACTTCCATCAAAGGAGACCGAAAATATTTGTCGCCACATGGTTTGACTCAGCATATAGCACTTAGTTTCACACACAGGGTTTTGAATGAGGGAAGAAATAAGTGTTTTTATCTGCTGAAGGTCCATTCAGTTTGGCCATTTTAAGAAAGTATCATTGGTAAGTCTGTTTACATTTGTCCTGACCATTACTTGTTCAAAACATGCCCAGGTTCAAGGTTCACCTGCAATGCTATCTTTCATAAGGCCTTTGATGAAATTTCATTTCACTGATTGATTGTTGGTTTATTTGAGGGCATCAACTGGGCATTTGACTGAAATAATGGTTATTCATATTCTTTTCCTACCCTTGGGCTCCCAGAGATCAGGAAACATTTTTCTGAATCTTTTCATTCCTCACAGAATCTAAAATATTACCTCACATACACTAGGCCCTGTTGTTTATATTTATGAAGAAAGTCAATTAATACATAATTGAATGCTGAGAACTGTTCCTGTATTATATTTGTATTCAAGTGATACTTAGAAATTTAGGAGCTATTCAGAGTGTGCAATTTTTTTTAAATAAGTGAACATCAAATAAAATATTTAAACAGACAAAAGCACCCAAGTGATATCAATCAGACCACTTTTAAATCAACTAAGATACCCAAGAGGGGTGTAAGATAATGGAACACTGAAACAACCATAGTAAAAAGTCTCCTAACTAAAGGGCGTGTTCCAACAAAAGAGATAACTTAGTCTTGTTGAAAGCATGGGAGGGTCTGTAGAATGCCTTTCTGTATGGCTGAAAAGGCTTCCATAGATATTCACAGGTAGTACCAAACAGGATGCAATTTTTGCAGTTTTGTGGGAGGCAAATTCTGCAGAAGGCAATTACAGTGGAGGATAATTGCACTTCCAGCGTTCCACAGGTCTGTGAAATTAGCAATTAAGCACAGAAATAGCTAGAGCAATAGAAATATAACAGATGGGCTGTGTGGAGCAATGGCGAGCTGATACTTAGAACTCTGCAATGAGAAGATAAGCTAGTACCAGGAACCTGAACCAACAGGATGATGAGGGGGGGATGGGAAGTTTCAAAGATGATGCATAATTAGCAGAAAGATGAGAGGAAGATGACCCAACTCAAAGCCTCCCAGACTCTGCCCAGACTTCTCCTTACTTAAGGAGACAATACATACCAGAACCCATGAGAATTTGAATTTAATCTATAATTTTGTTTGTTTTTGGTTAACTATTTAGTAACCTGAACATTTTATCTCATTTTGTGATTAAGGTATAAGATATAATTTAACCACTAGCATTTAAAGTCATAACTAATGTTATTGATGAACTGTCACCAAATCAGTAAACTGAATTGATAATTTTGGGGTTCTTGATATCATGTAAGCTGCTGAATAATGCCTTTTTCTCTTATACATATCAGCCCTTGAACAACAATTAATCTCTTGGGTTTCTTATTGATCCAAGAAGAGAAAAAATGATTTTTTGAATGACATTCCCTGTCTTTTCATGTTCTATTTCTAAGCTATGGACAGGCAGCTTCAATGACCAGTTAATCTAATTTAACACGTGAAACTTGCTAACTCTAGCAAAAAAAAAATACCCTCATCTTTGATATAAAAGGACAGTCACTGCATTGGTATTCTATATGGGAACCTTTTTTAGAAATCTTTGTTAAGATGAAGTGGAGTCTTGGTGACAGCTCAGAATTATTTAAAGCTGTATGGTTTTACAGGAGACAAAAAGTCTAAGAAATTGGGTACATGGCGTTGTCACCTGGCTTGAGATGTGTGACTATTCCATCCTTCAAATAATGAAGTGGCACTCTTTTAATATATGCCAACCTAACCTTTTTAACACCTCTAATAAGTCCTCTAGTTATGCAGATCTTGTTTCCTCTTGATAAAGAGAATGTACTCTTCTTACTCTCGAGCAATGATATGATCAGTCCACCTAACTGGTGGTTCTCAGACTGCTGCACTTTGGAATTTTCTAGGGAACTATAAAAAATATGGATGGCTTAGCCTTGATCTCAGATGTTCTGATTTAGCTGGTGTGAGATAGAGCTCCCAGGCACTAGGATTTCTAGAATTCCCATAGGGAATTCTAACATACAGCCAAAGTTTAAAACCATTGCTATAGCTGAATGCTACCTTACTGTTAATGTATATACAGCCATCTGACAAAATTGTTATGGTGTAGATTTTCATCCAGTGAGTCAGGTATGGCCTGAGGCTCTGTATTTCCAATAAACTTCTTGGTAATACTGATGCTCCTGGTCTACAGACCACAACTGAGTAGCAAGTATCTGGATGATTCTGACTTCCCCAAGTCGAGGTCTACATTATTGGCCATATGGAATTAGTGGTGATGATTAAGTGGAAAGAATTGTGTTTATGGTCGTAGTCCAACATTCTTTTCAAATTATATCCCAGTTAAATCTGACAGATATAAGTAGGGTAAGAACATCAAGTACGGAGAAAATTCCTTAAAAATGAAGATTTACAGATATGAATGTAAAGTCAGAATGATTTGCTTTCAAAATTAGTTTTGAATTTATTTTTTAGAAACAAGTACAAAACACAATTTCTTCCTGCAGATATGCAGGACACTTTGACACATTATTTTACTTGATTCTAGGCATGTTTATGTTTTTGTTGTCCTGTGATGATTTTATTGTATAATGTAGCAGAAATTAACCCAGTAGTGTACTGACTGCATTGTTATGGGTTCTTGGGACAGCCCCATCTGAAGAGGTTGGTTCCTTCAAATAAATGCTACTTTGAAATGATTCCTTTGGACTTTAGATTTCTTTCTACATTGAAATCTGCAGGTCTTAAATATAAAGTTAGCTGTTCAAAAAATGCTCTTTATAAAATGTTGGTGTGGCCTCTGTTTAAATTCAGAATTAAGTGAATTTCAAAGACAGGAGATTTTAATCAATTTGAGGTTTTCTTCTAATTTTTTTCTTTGGACAAGAGGAATGAAGGAGTATATGAGAAATGTGCTCATCTAGTCACTGTTTCTTAGAATAAAAAGAAACGTCTGCTATGTTTTCACACCATGCTATACTAGTATTATCGTTTCTCTAAAACAAACTCCAGCAAACTAAGCCTTGTGGGCCAAATCCAGGTCACTGCGTACTTTTATACAGCTCACAAACTGAAAAAAAAATGGCTTTTGCATTTTTAAATAGGTGGGGAGAAAATCAAGTCAGGAATGACATTTTATAAGATGCAAATTTATAATATTTATCCCTCAGTGTTCATTCATAAAGATTTATTTGAACATATCTATGTTCTTTTATTTACAAGTTGTCTGAAGCTACTTTTGTGCCGTAGTGGCAGAGTTAAGTATTTGGGATAGATGGTATGGCTCATAAAGCCCCCAATACTTACTATGTCGCCTTTTACAGAAAAAGTTTGTTGTCCCCCAATCTAGAGATATACTTCCTTTCCTTCATTTTTAAGAAGTTGAAAATATACCTCATTGTGTAGATTACGTTGGATTCCCAAGTGTTGACCCTCTTCACCTCGGCACACACACACACACACACACGCACGTGCACACACACACACCCCGCACGCCCTCATTTGGTCTTCACTGTATTCTGCCTTCTCACTCCTTAGCAGACAACCACGAAGTCTGAGCAGCATTTGCTGCAAAACTAATTCTCTCTCCTTTCCTGGCAGGGGAATGGAGTTCTTTAAGAAGGAAACTGAAGCTTGGAAACAGAATCACCTGTCCCTGTCGCCTCTTCTGGCACAGCTTCTAGCAGCCAGGGTTCCTGACATATGCTCCAACTTTCTTCTCAGGGTGCTGGTGTGGAGAAAAGTCAGTCCAAAAAGGAGCAGACCTTTCTCTTGCTGCAATTTTCTGTCAAGAAGACTTGGGGCCAGAAAACAGCAAAGAAACATTTTAAATCTATGAATACTTATGAGAGAGATTCAGGATAACCTACCAAGTCTACACAAAGTTTTCTTTTCAAAATTTAAGTAACAGCTGGGGATTTAGCTTAGCAGCACTGTGCCTGCTTCTCAAGCTCAAGGTCCTGAGTTCCATCCCCAGCACAAAAAAAGATAATAAATAAATAAATTAAATTAAATTAAATTTAAGTAAAAAAAAGACAGAATATTAGTCTTGATAATGAAGAATGTTGTAGGTTCCTTTCCCTAGGAATAGACATGGTAAGAAAAGTATTCTCTGAATGTGCCTAAAGAGAAATGGAGGGAAAAACAGAAATAAAAGGTATGCAATCCACTTTCATGTTATTGGTAAGAGTTTATAGCTGAAGCTGTACTGATTACATAAATATGTTAGTGACTCTAAATTTCAGAAGGACCATTTTCCTTTCAAGGGTATTCTTCGACTATGATTGAATGATTCTAGAGAGAAAGACATAAAATTACAAGATTCTGACATCTTTCACAACCACTTGGTGAAGTGGGAAAAAGAGGGAAAAGGGGAGTTAGAAAACCCAAACCCTAATGCTCAGTTACAACTTCGATTGTCCTGGGCATGGCCTCTAAACTTGCTGAGTCTCTGTCCCTTCGACAATTAAAGAAGGAAAGCAATGTTTCTTCAACTTTCCTCAAGGGGTATTCTGCTATTCAAACATTAATATATGTTCAATGTACTTGGTTGATTGTAGAGATCTAATTTCTTTTAGGATACTGGCTTTATCAACATTGATCTTATGTACTGAACTTTATCTCACTGTTCAATTAATCTGCTTCTTTTCAATGCCCACAAAAGCAGAACTTTCAGATTCA